GTGAGCTCTGGGGTAATTACATTATATTAAAGACAGCAATAGCGTCAGATGCAGCAGATTGATTTTATTACACCAGGTTAAAGTTTTTGGCCCATTTACAGCACTGAAATACATTTAAAAAATTAAACGAAGAATAGACTTTGGTCTATTGGTGTGTGTGTGTGTGTGCCATTGCATGCAAGTTTTCTGTATTTATAACCACCTCAGGGATATTGGGGGTCGCGAGTCACTGGTATTGTTATTTTAGGGGTCGCGTGCTGAAAAGTTTGGGAACCCCTGATCTACAACACTGTACATTGAGGATATTTATAATAAGTTTCAAATATAGATGTATTGAATAAAAAAAAAAGACAATGTTAAAACCTCCACAATAATGTCAGACTTCCTCATCTGATGTGGAGAGAGCAGCTTGTCTGAGCGTATTCTTTAGGAGGCAGATCTCAAGTGTGGTCTTGGTTTGCTGCAGTTTGGTCAGAGTCAGTTGTTCTTTTGCCAGATGAAGCTGAACTTCTGCCCAGTCTCTATTTAGAATTGTATATAAATATAGTAACAGAATAAAATGTATTGTTTTTGGTCAGTTTTGACAGCTGTTTGGGGGATTATTTTATGAGGCCAAACTCTTTTTTATTTTGCTGTAGGCCTATACTGAAAGGCTAAATACGTTAAAGCCTATACTCACCATAGCCTGACAGATGAACAAATAAAATTAAAACCTTATGAATAAATAGTATATCTCGTACTGCATGATCCAAATATAGTTTTATTTAATAATTTTTTTGAGTTTTCATTCCATTTTGGGCATGAAATCAATGCTAAATCTACCCTTCTGGGCCCAGTTTTTCAAAAGTAATCTACGAGGATTTTGGATAAGGGATTGGATCAAATCTTGAAAATAGTTTTTTCAAAAGAAAAAACGGATTAATCGGATTAGATCACATAATCCAATCTTGGTTTTGATCCGGATCAAACCTTTACTTTGGGTTTTTCAGACCTTTTTTGTAGGATTTGGATCACTTTGATCCAAAAAACATGGATTAAACTGATCTCATCAGAGGGGTGGATTTAGTGTGGATTTCATGCCCAAAATTTAATAAAAACTTAAAAACTGTATTAAATAATTTTATTTTTGGGTCTTACGAGATATACTATTTATTCATAAAGTTTTAATTTTATTTGTTTATCTGTCAGGCTATAGTGATTATTGGCTTTAACGTATTCAGCCTTTCAGTATAGGCCTACAGCAAAGTAGAAATAGCTTGGCCTCATAAAACAATCCCCCAAACAGCTGTCAAAATTGACCTAAAACAATACATTTTATTCAGTCAATAATTGATATATATATATATATATATATATATATATATATATATATATATATATATATATATATATATATATATATATATATATATATATATATATATATATATATATATATATATATATATATATATATATATTCATCACAATGGAAAATATTTTTGTTTTTAGAATATTTATTAGTGATGCATGCAATGATTACAGAATAACCAAAAAGAAAATGCAAAGAATGGCTATCACTGATTTTTGAAATCACTTTCAACAATTGCAAAAAGATACTGAAAGAGCAGAAGCGCAGCTTCATCTGGTAGAGGAACAACTGACTCTGACCAAACTGCAGCAAACCAAGGCCAGACTTGAGATTCACCTCCTAAAGGCTTTGCTCAGCAAGCTGGTCTCTCCACATCAGATGAGGAAGTCTGAACTTATTGTGGAGTTTTTGACATAAAGTCTTTTTTTATTTACATTTATATTTGAAACTTATTATAAATATCCTCAATGTACAGTGTTTGTGTTGTAGGTCTCAGATGAGCAGACTGCTGGAAGAGTATGGGGTGAGGTTTTTATTGTTTTTAGTTTTTAATTTTATTAAATTTTTTTAAATGTGCAGGTGTTTTCATCTAAAAAAAAAAAAAAGTTATAATGACCCCACACTGGCTATTCTACTTGTTGCTCTTTACATAGGTCTATCTATCCATCTACATTGTGATTGAGCACTGGTAATCCAGATTTAGTGATCCTGAAAAGTTCCTATCCGGATCAGATTGATCCAATCCAATGTTGCTTTGAAAAACTGGCTCAAAAAGTAAGATGGATTACGTGATCATGGATCGCAAAAACAGGATTACTAAATCCGGATCAATTTTATCCAGATTAAACCTTTTGAAAAACCGGGCCCTGATGAGATCAGTTTAATCCAGGTTTTTTGGATCAAAGTGATCCAGATCCTACAAAAAAGGTCTGAAAAACCCAAACTAAAGGTTTGATCCGGATCAAAACCAAGATTGGATTATGTGATCTAATCCGATTATGTAATCCGTTTTTTCTTTTGAAAAACCCAATTTCAGGATTTGATCCAATCCCTCATCCAAAATCCTAGTGGATTACTTTTGAAAAACCGGGCCCTTAAGATTATTATTTTTTGATTGGCTACAGAACAAACCATTGTTGTCCAATGACTTGCCTAATTAACCTAGTTTGCAAAATAGCTCAACAAATATTATGTACTCTTATCAAGGTGAAGACAAAAAAATATGTATTAGTTTATTAACTATTATGTCTAAAAATGTGTTGAAAAAAAATCTCTGTTAAATACATTTTCACATAGGAGGGCTAACAATGTTGCCTTCAACTGTACATGGTATAATGAAGGTCAAATTTAGCTATACTGTAATGTGTAAACGCATTGATCATATGTTTGCTTAAAGTCCCCAGTTAAATTAAAAAGTTAAAAGCAAACCAAGCTAAAATTGTTTTGACAATATATGTCTTATTCTGGAGTAATAATTGTAGACTTTGAACAAAATAGATTATCTTTTAGTATGTTGTTTTAACCCAAATTTGAGTAAATTGAAGTTCATATTTTACCCAGATTTGGGTGAATGATTTTTAGAGAGTAAATTCATCCATTTTCCTTCGGCTTAGTCGCTTTATCAGGGTTCACCACACAGCGGATGAACCGGATGCTCTTCCAGCTGAAACATCCACACTCATTCACACACATACACTACGCCAATTTAGTTTATTCAATTCACCTATACCACAATTCTTTGGAATGTAGGGGATACCCACGCGAACACAGGGAGAACATGCAAACTCCACATAGAAATACCAACTGACCCAGAATTTGAACCAGCAACCTGTGAGTCGACAGTGCTGAGCCACCGTGTCACTTAGAGAGCACATATTTATATAAAAAATAAAAAAATAAAAAAATAAAAAAATTATACGTAGGCTATTTTGTAGCGCTGAGGTCAGATGTTAAGCATAGTCCTCCAGTTTCAAAAACAACGTTTAAGGCTAGTCAATATTAAATTACATGTTTGAGCTTTCTCAAGTCTAAATAACTTGCAGTGAGATGTCTTAAAATACATCAGTGTAATTTTTTTCACCAGGTGCACACCAATAATATATTTTTCCAAGGCCATTTTTATAAATTTGGCTTAAATAGCCTAATTTAACGAAGGCCTAGTCCTGGCTTAATCTAAGCCCTGTTTGTGAAACTGGGCCAGTGTGTTTTATATGTTATGGAGGGAGGTGTCAGGAAAAAGAGGGGGAAGCGTATGAGAGGATAAAAAACAGGGAGGGGGAGAGATAGCGCGCGGTTTTCCTTGTGTTCATGAGAGGATAGGAACACCTCCCAATACTCACTGTGCTAATTTTGTAAAGAAATAAAGAAATTAAGCTGTTGGTTGAGTTTTACAGGATCACCGTCTCCTGTCTTTTCAATTTGGGCACATCTATATTATTTATTGATTGATTTATTTATATTATACTCATATTCATTCTTTTATGGTTTTAAAAAATATTTTATAAGGAATTTAACTAAGACTTTACACGTGTTTACATTTTGCTACAATTATTTTGTTACAATCTTTTGTTATTGTGCCTGAAAAAAAATCACCGCAAAATGAAAGTGAAATTAAAACTGTGCTGTATTTCTAAAACCCTCCGCATGATGGCAATATAGATCCTGCAAATTAATAATATCAAACATTAGTCGTGCTACGAAATAGACTTGACATTGCAGAAACATTACGCCATGCAACAGACGATCAAATCTACCAACACAAGGTATTAATAACATTTAATCCGATAATAATCAAAGAAACGTGCACAAACTCATTCATAGACCAAATTAGCCTATTGTTCAAATACTATGTATGCCTTTCTTAATAATTATGGAGACTTTCATTGAGGGATTAATTTTTGTGCAACTAAATTGATAAAAAGAGAGAATATTTAACCCCTTAACTACCCCAAGGAAAAAGCTCCTATATCGCTAGTTGGCACTCAATTCATTTTTTTTCAACACATCCCATAATTTCTAAAATATCAGCCTCTAATAAATGGTTGATGTCGGTTTATGATAAAAGTATCGGAATTAATACAGCTACTATAAAATATCCGAAAATATGAAGTGTAAGATTAATTTATTTAAAATCATCTAAATCATCTTTATTTTTTGAAGTATGCCATAAAAATGTCAGATTCTCATTTAACATGCTTTCTTGTTTTGTTTTGTTTTACAATAGGCTAAAACCAAAATCAATTGTAGTAGTATAACATGCTTATGTGTGTTTGATTTTTTTGTAAACCAACAATGCTGTAACCATTATTTAAAACAGTCATTTTTTAAATTAATTTAACAGTCAATATTTAAAACAGTCAAAACATGGTCAACAATTTGGTAGAGCAGGCAGTCAAAGGAGTAATATGCCCTTTTAATTCCATAACAAATAATAGCCTAAAAGGGATTTAGATCTATAAAAGTTCACACATTCACAATTAAATGAATTAGAAGCAAGTCAGTTTGTTATACTCGTATACTGTTTTATTTTCTGTGACAGCGTTGTCTTGATTAGCCTAATTATTTAATGTTTTCCCTTGCACGTGTAGTTGCGGGCAGAGCGCGTGGGGAAGGCGGGGCCAGACGCGGCGACATCACGCATCAGGGCGGGGCCACTCTATGCAGCAGCGCAGCGAGGAAAAGCGAGAGGCAGCGCACTGGAATTTGGCAACACAGATTCGCATGCACCACAACTGTGCCGATGATAATATGGATTGACACAGCGCTTTCTGAGACGTGAGTACATCTGATCTGTGAAACAATCCGAAGGATGAGTCTGGAGTTTCTTTACTGGTTGCACAACCAAGATAAAAGACCATATAAAGAAATGTGTTGTTTGGTTGGTGTGTTGTGCGCAGAAAGGCGAACTGGGGATAAGTTACATTTGCGAGCTGTTTGAATGACTTGGCTGCTATGCCATTTTATAATCGCTTTACCTTTGCGAGTTTCTGCTATGTATGTATAGAAACAAACATAACTCTGACTGTCAAATCGAAAGCTAAAGCACAAAGGTTGCTTTTTGGGAGAAAACGATGTCTTTCATTGGCAGAAGAAGGTGAAAGTATGCATATGCGGTGCGACCTGACAGGCCGGTGTTTGTTTTTCTTGCGATTATTTTGTAATTTATTATGTTGACTGAAGTTTCCGAGTTGTTCATGCTTTGCCTTACTCATCTATCCATCTAAGATTTGGCTTGTAACTTGTCAACATTCTCAATACATGTCATTAGGCTGCTTAAAGGGACAGTACACCCACAAATGAAAAATAAATAAATAAATAAATACTCTCTCTCACACACGCACACACACACACGCACACACACGCACACACACACACACACACACTTAGGCCATCAATATATATATATATATATATATATATATATATATATATATATATATATATATATATATATATATATTGAATTAAAGTTGGTTTTGTATTCGCACATTCAGAATTTTCTAATATTATATTTTCAGAAAAGTATGTTCAAATTTTAAATAGAGAAATCATGTTTGCAGCCAAAGACTATCAAAGTACAACATTGTTCAGTCAATTAAATAGTGCTAATGTTGTTTTGAAGTAATTTCTGACAGAATATTCAAAGTAGCATGGTAAACAATATTGGATAGGGACCCTGTCACAAGTAGTCACAGAATGAATGTGTGAATATAAAACCAACTTGACCTCAATAACCTAATCATAATTTCTTTAGTAGAGGATTAATTGACATTTTTAGCTGATACGGTGGTCTTTAGTGGATTTAAAAAAGGAAGACTATAGCTATTGGCACTATGAGAGCAAATAAAACAAAACAAAATGAATACCTTTGGGTCTTATGAAAGATTGAGGTCTTATGAAGCAAAACAATTGTTCTGTGAAAGAAGCTGAACATTAATTACACTTTAATGCCCTTCGCAACCTTAGTAAACAGTCTTTAAACTCACACTAAGCTCACATTGTTTACAGCTTTTGTATACTGTAGGTTACAGCATCTAGGATAAACACAAGTACAATTTTAATGTACTCGAAGCAACATATGTGTCCTCCCTCTCTGTTACTAACACAGTAATCTGTTTTAATAAATCTTACAAAACACATTCTAGATTATGTAGTTCTTGAAAATCTGGTGATTTTGTTTTAGATTAATGATTTTCAATATATATTTTATTGTTGAAAGAAGAAATGAAAACATTACAAGTGTCAGTTAAAGTAAATTCTGACTGTAACATAAAGTGTCATTACAAAGAAAAAATTCTAAAAGCATAAAGCATTTATTTAAAAAATAAAAAGGCAAACAAATATCGCAAGCAGTAATTATTGGGCTAAACATATTCCTTATTTGAGTGTACATTGGTTTTACTCTTGAATCAAAATCTGATGTGTTTTGGACCAGGCTAGAACTTTTGGTGACCAACTCTGTTGTTTTATAGTGCTACAAAATTCACAGCTTTGGCATTTTTATTACAGTTGTATAGAGAAATATTGATGCAATGCAATGCAATGTCAGTTTTTGTATTTGTTACAGCTAGTGGTCTCACAGAAATGGTCTCCAATAATAAGTGTTTGATTTATTTTGCTTACACATAATAAATAACAAATTTCTCTCACTGATTAGTGTTTATTTTATTCCCAAACACCCCTTCTATAAACAAAGCAAGACCTAATAGGGTTTGGCTGATTTACTCCTGATTGGAGTTTGATATTTCATGAAGCAGGCAGGCTGTTGCATAAGCACAGTTCAAGTGCAGTGTGCTCGATCACGCATTCGTTTGGGGATTTGTGGCAGTTTCACTCAGCTGAGATGGAAACAAGGACCATGTGCAAGAACCACACAGCAGCTTGTATTAAGTGGGATTTACATTAGGACTTTGTGACTCTAATGGCCAGACTTGTTAATGTGTGTTTACAATAGAGGTGGGCGATATGAGCTAAAACTCATATCACAATATTTTTCAATGTCCACGTTTCCATCCATCTAATTTCTAATATCTAAAAGATCTAATATCCAAAATGCGCATAAAAAATTTTGGTTAATGGAAATGCCAAGATGCGCATATATTTTGAAAATTCACATAAAAAACATAACTGTGCATAACTGAGTTGGATAAACTTTTATTTGATAACAAAAGATGCGCATAAATTACGATGGAAAAACTTTTACTGAACAAACTCCAGTATGCGCATTAAAAAAGTCATGTGATTTTGTCTTAAGAGATTATGTGGTGGTAAAAATGTGTGCGAATGGACAAACCAGCTGGCTGAGCACACTGTAAAACATCTGAAATGTTGTTATGGTCTTTCTAAAATGCCTTAACCATTTCAGTATTAGTGTTATTATATTATTAATTACCTCTAGAACAGTCAAGAGCATCTGTCCTCCGTGTCTGAAGCCTTCAAATGCCACCGCGCGTTCATTGCATGTCAGCATTTTTCTTCTGAGGTGCAAGTCATTTATTAAATGAAGAAAAGATTCGCTCAGCTTCTCTTACCACATCAAATTCCATTTTTACTGTTGATAAATGGCACCAGTTAATCAGAAAGTGACGATTTTGTTCATTTTATCTCATTGGATTGACACGCTGATTTATTCGCCCATCTTTCATACCATATTCTAGTTTTGCACATAAAATTAATTTGCATTTTTGGATGGATTGATATTATATCAGCTATTGATATTATATTGCGATATGACAAAAAAACTGAATCACATTTTAGTAGCCCTTAGCAACAGGAAGTACAGTTGGCCTGTAGTAAATGCATTAAATATTACATCAAATCAAATGTTTAATGTTTAGGAGATAAAAATGAATTATATTGCTTTCTACACAGAAAACATGGAAATTACAAACTCAGACGTTGAAGAGTAGGTTTAATGATGTATGCCTATGAACGCAGATAACCTCTCTTTTGGTTCCTTAAACAGAGGTAACTCGCAGGTTAAGTAGTCATAGCAGTTTATGCACTTAAGGATCTCCAGAGTAGGTTAAGGTTTTGGTTAAGCAGGTTTGCATTTCTGAATGTCTTTAATCATTTCTTAATAAACACTATCATAAAATAATGGCACATTTTTGTAACAGAACTTTTTTTTTTTAGTAAAATGTATTGCATGTGCAATTTTATTCTAAAACATACTCCTCACCATAAAAAGTGTAGATACAATATTATTAAATATTGAATATAAAAAATAGAGTATTTTATATTTATGATTTCATTGTAACATATTAACCCTTATGCTCATGGTTTCCTCCTTCAGTGTGTAAAATAGACAAAGACAGTTAAAACGCACCCACAGAGAAGCGCTAATCTGGTCACAGTTCTAGTTAGAGTTCTGGTCACAATTGCTGACATTTTAATAACATTCGTAATTTCTGAAGACTCAACAGGGTGTTTTCAAAACATTTTGTTTTTGCTGGTCAAAGATGCAGAAGTTGTGTGACACCATGCGTTACACTTTTAAAATGAACTAGTAGCAAGCAGGGTACAGCTGTTTGTAAAGCAGACATTGTCAACTATTGGTAAAAAACTAAACACAGAATAGATTCAAGCAACGCAATCTAACGACAAATCATAACCTTTTGAATTAGTGGCTAATTCGTATGAATTTGTATGATCTAATTCGTATACTTTATCAAGATTTGCTCATCATCCAATGATGGTTGGGTTTAGGGGCAGGGTTGGGTGCCACGCCTACTTTAAAAATTGTAAATCTTCAGACGACTGAACTCATATGAATTCGTACGAATTAGCTACTAAACTACCAAAACGGAAAATACTTATGTTTTTTTTTTTTTAGATCAGGCTGATACAAGAGAGAATTACGGTGTGCTCTTGATGTAGAATTGTATCTCGATTGGATTTATTGCCTCAACTCTGATGCCGAAAGTACACTGTCTTCAGCAGAGTTGCTTATAGCTAAACTTTATTAGTTTCATAATTGACATTTTGTAGAATCTTTTCAATATTGATCTAAACTGAATCAACATTGAACTGAATATTGAACATTGCTGTCTACTATAGGTCTCTTATATACATTTACATTATTAGCCAGGTTTCCAACTTAACATGAAGCAAATCTTTTTTAAAGTTTGCAAAAATGACAAAACAAATAAAAAAACTAATGTAAATTAGGTGCATATGTTGGTTAGATTGGGTGACTGTACTATTGGTAACCTAGTAACCAACATTAAACAAGCAAAGCATAATGGAAACAGCTGATTAGTCATATGAGTGTAACATTCGCTATGTCAAAGTTGATTCACCAAATATATTTCCCTCGTTATTCCAATGCTATCTTATGCCAATTTGTAACTGTTTGTTTCAGTGCCTAATAATCCGTCTGAATTTGTATGATCCCATTTGTAAGTTTTTGTACGATTTGTTCACCCCCCAATGATGGTTGGGTTTGGTGTCACGACTCTTTAAAAATTGCTCATATGAAATTATATGAAGTTAGACAAAGTAGACACCAAACCCGGAAAATATAAAATAGTTCAGTTTCCTCATGAGATCGGGCTGCATTATTCTAATTAATCCTTCCAAAGTCCAATTCACCTTAAGTGACTGTAAAAACTTGCAAATTAAGGAATTTTTATTAAAAATTTGGCATTTCATCACTCGATTCTGATGGAAACCCTGCTATTGATTCTGTTGTTTTTAAAGGGTGCTTCTTGAAGCAACCTGAATAAATCATTATACAATACATCAAAGTGGCCTGACGAGATAAAAAATGTTTG